TATATTCGATACATCGAAGTTGGCCGAGGTATGATTTCGTTTGCGCGCAGCGCGTAAGCAATTCACTTGCGATATAACGTGAATTCCTATATACTATATATCGCAAGTGAATTGCTTACGCACTACGCGCAAACGAAATCATACCTCGGCCAACTTCGATGTATCGAATATAGGTTTTCACGTTAAATATCGAGTGCACTGCATATATGATGCTTCGGCAACTCACGAATCGCCAAAGCAAGTGAAATGCTGAATCCACGAGTATGCCGACAAGTCCGTTGCTTCATTGAGAACCAATCATTTTTCTCTATGTAATTTATTGCAACGATATGATTCGCCAATTTCATACATATAGCAAGCTTTTGAGCAAGCTCCAGGTAGTAAAATGATAACGTTTGATTGTTTATAAAAACATTGTTTGCTACCGTTCGAACATTTGTTTATTTTCCTGCAACAAAAACAATAACAAACCATTTAATTCTTATATTTCATGAATCAGCAAAGTGTATTTGAAAGTTTTGAAAAGCATCAACACTAGTCAACTGTTCAACCCATTCTGTGCGATAAGATGCGTGTAAAAATTTCAGATTTTCATAACGTGCGCTCCAAGAAGATATTCGAACAGACAAATCATTGACAATGAGTGGACCGCCGGATATACTGTATCACGATAGAGTGGAATTTTGAGGAGCAGAACTGATTAACTAGTGTGGTCCTGGTCATACTATAATTTGAAACCGTATACTTCTTAAAATGTCTTATCGTCCGATATTTTCCATTTTGAAAATGGCATTGAAGAAATAAAAGCAAAATAATATATAATTTAGTTGATGAATTCCCCATCATTATAGGCATCAGTACCATCAACAGCAATGATTCTAGATTCATCCGACGGCGTCCATCAAAACAATGAGCAAATGAAAGAATCCATCAATCGCTAATAATTATCGATCCACCACAAAAATCGTCCACTTCAAAAAAACTGCGAACGGAATTTTCTCATTTTGCTTTACAATACTTGGCCGAATCAAACTGTTTTGGAATTTTCTTACTGATTTTGTGTGAATTTCAATGATTATCTTCATTTTTAAATGATTTCAAAAGTGCAAATATTCTAAGGTGCGATTGTTATTAACAATTTGTTAACGATGCTATCGTTTTCCGCATTCATCTTTTGATGAATCTAGCACTACATTCAAACGATTTTTTTTTGTATGAATACAACATCAAATTCAAAGCATTTTTACAGTTCTGATATTTTCCAAATGAATTCATAATATGAAGGAAAGTACTAGCATTCTGCTTTGGGTACTCAAATCGATACTTAACGAAAGTATTTGAAAACGAATACTGTTGTCATTTGTCTGACGTAGCGAACGTAAACATAAAACAATCATAGCCGAAGTGACAATTCGGAAAGGATTTTGGCATTCCATTGAAAAAATACCAAAACACAAAAGAAGAAAAGTAAGCAGAATAAGTCAAATTACCGCCGAATCAATGAAACTGTTTCAAATTGCTTGATAAAAGAAAAGAGTCTTTCCAAAAGAAACATGAGTGAAACAAAAACTGGTATGTACAAGTACATTAATAACAAAACGATTAGTTCAAGAAAAGTTCTAACAAAAATTCATTTATTTTTAGTTCATCAATGTTTGTTTTGTTCGCAAACATTCGATAGTGCCGCTGAAAAAGACGATCACATTCTGGAACACTTCGCACGAGAAACATGCATGGAATGTAATCAAAATTTGATTCGAATTGGTGGAAATTTATTCACCTTACATAATTCAATCACATGTATTCGAAGCGGCACGAAGTTGGAGCAACAATCTCTTCTCACAGAAGAGCCTGATATTCTGGGCAAAGATGAGCGGAAAATAGAAAATTGCAATGCAAATGATATGATCGTTGCTACTACACTTTCAAACACAGATTATGACGAGCAAATCATCAAAGTAGAACCGACGATAGAATATTACGAAGACAGAGGCAGCGGTGTAGATTTGGAAGGCGTTCAAATCAAGGAAGAGTGCATATATGACGCTGATACTGAGGTACACGGAACCATTTTCACCGAGCAGCTTCAAGTTGATTCCATTACATGTGAACCTTATTTAGAACCAAATGACCCAATGACACCAAATATCGGCCACTTTATGGTAGACAATTTCAATGAACCGAACTCAAGTCGAATGAAAAAACCACAGCAATCGAGCCATTCAAAGTCAAAATCAAAGCAAAAAACTGCGAAGAATGCTGTAGATAAGTTAAAATGTGATATTTGTGACATGACATTTTCACATGTTGTAAACGTTAGACGACACAAGATTTATTTCCATAGCCAACCGGGTACACATTTATGTAGAATCTGTACAAAGATTTTTGCAAACCCAGAAGCACTTGCCGAACACCGCATCGGCTGTTACGAAAAGAAAAAGATCCGACTAGATAACCCTAAGATACACATAGGCAAATCATTTGAATGTTATGTTTGCCGACGAGTAGCTCCAAGCAGACGAAAACTATATAGTCATATGCGAAACATGCATGTTTCAAAGAAAGCCGAAGACACGCATGGTGTGAAAAATTTCGTGTGCACTTGGTGCGGAAAAGTCTTTTCAAGGGAATATCTATTGAAGCAACATGGTCAGTATTTTTCATAAATGATGTTTTGGTCAGAAAATTAATTAAATTTTTTTTTCTTTTGCTGCAGAAAATTCACATACGGGCTTACGGCCATACGTTTGTCGATATGGATGCGGAAAGTCATTTGCAGCTTGCAGCGCTCAGCGGGCACACATGAGATACGTTCACGAAGGTCAAAAGAGATATCAGTGCAAAATCGATGGATGTGACCAAGCATTCGGTGGCAGCACCGGTTTTAAAAAACACAAACGCGATGTACATGGCATTCCATACGTCGATAAAAGATACCAAACAAAATTGAAACCCCACGAAAAGGAGAAGACACAATACCGCTGCCCGTATTTGGAATGCAAAAAAATTTTTGTCCATCATTCGAGTAGATATAAACATGTGAAAGAGGTACACGAAGGAATTAAGAAGTACAAATGCAAAATCGGTAATAAATAGAACTTAAAATTTAAATTTAATTTTTAATAATTAAATAATAATAATTTTTTAATTTTTTTTTATTTTAGACGGATGTTTGGCCACATTTGGCGGTGCGGTCGGTTTAAGAAACCACAAGCGTGACGTGCATGGCGTTCCAATCGATTGGAATGTCTCATGAAATTAAACATAAACCCAAATGATACCTTATTTCCAATTCAATTTATTTAATCTAAAGCAAGCACTAAAATAATAGATAAGAAATAGGGAGAGTGCTTGCTATTGAGATTTTAAAAAACAAAATGTTTACGAAAATCTTATAAAAAATCAACCCAGAAACCCCGGCTTGTCATTGACACTATTGATTGATTTCTGTAAAGAAAAAATTCCTTTTTTGAAAATCTCATTATACTTTGATTGAACAAAATCAAACTTCACCTGTCACTTGTTATTACACTGTCAAAATAACAGTTGGAAATTTATTTTTATGAACAAATTAAAATGAAAAACAAAACTTGATCACATAGAATTTTCAATAAATAATTTTAAAATAAGATTCACAGGGTGTGTATCTAAGCGTCTGACAGCTCACTTCTAGCGCTGCGAGACAAGTGTCAAAAGTTGTGACTCAGATCGTTCAATGTTTACCGCAAACTATTGAATCTTTTTTGTAATCGATAATAAAGAAAATAAGAAAATAAAAAAAAAAAAATGTAACGAATTGATTTTTGTAAGAGCGTAGCAGGTGATAAACATCAATTTAATAAGCAATTTTTTTTTCATTACGGAACATTGTTGATGAGTTCCAATCATGACGCATTGGAGAAGTAGGTTGCGTATGATATTTACAGAGGCGGCATCAAACGGATTTTTAACTTAACTGCTTTATTAACACAGAAATCATACACACGATTTCTCTTACAATCAAGAAATGTGCATACATCCAGGTGGTTCGAATGATTTTTCGTATACGCAAGAAATACATTGTTAACATAGCACATAGGGCTCCACTGATGAGTTCATTCAGTCGCGTTCATGAGTGCGTCTAGCGACGTGCACTAATCACCCCTTGCTTGTCTGCCATAAGAACCAATGTGTTTAATGTAATAGTGAACAGAAGTGGTGCCGAAGTATGATTTGTGGCAATTTTAAGAACTATCAATCCCAATCACCATTAAATATGTGAAAGCAATCGTCATTAAATTGCTGTTGAACTGGATATAATATTTCACATATCCGTATTGGTGAAGGTAACATTCCTTTCGATAAGCCCGCTGGCAATCGTTCAATTTGCGCTGTTGTGCGTCTTCCGACGATTGGGTTGGCACTGATTCTCCACTCTCTTTATTGACTGCCGTGTTTGAGCCCAACACAGAGTAAACATTGATATGACTATCTTCTTTTGACGTTTGCACTGAGATAAGGCAGGAAGGAAATATTCCAACCCTGTGTTGTAAATGTTATCATTGCAAACGATTTTGTGAATGAACCATGCAGCCTATCTGATCGTCTGTACAAATAGATAGCAAACGTCAAACAAGAACAATAAAGCGGCACCTGGCGACTGGTTGGAGAAATAGAGAATCATGCACATAGTTTGCTGTAACAAGTATGCGTCTGCGTAAACGTTATTACAAACGTTAGTGTTGTTCATGCTTAGCTATGACTTGCAGATATACACTAATCTCATGTTCCAATGAATGAAAATAATAACGCTACTGTATATTCAGTTATTAACAGAAATTCAGTTCAATCTTATTTTATTTCATTGTCGATTTTACATTGTGTTTTACTTATTTATTATTGTTTTTTATATGTGTATGTTATATATAAATATAAGAAAAAAATATTGAATCAGTTCAATAAGCGTATCGAAAAATAAATGCCAGAAAAATCATTATTTTTCGGATATTGCATAAATCAACGGGTGATGGCATGTTTCTACTTTCTTATATCCGAACATGTGTTTTTCTTTGTTGCATTTGATTTCAAATTTCAACGAATTCGTGATACAAACGTCAATAGTTGTTTTGGTATCGTAAATGGTGTTATTGTACTGTTTGTATTTATGATTAATCAACATGGATTTGAAGTCGATAAGAATCGACTGGGATATTATTTTCGTTTTTATATCCGTAATGTTATCTTCAGAATCTATCTCAAAATATACATTTGTGTCTCCGATCGCAAAGAACTCTTGGTTTTCATCCAACTGATCTTTCCACAAATGTGTAGTTTTTCCTATTTGCTCATTTGCAATCTAAGCATCGGGGCGAAAATAGAAGGCACAAATGGTGAATGAGATTTTCGGATTTTTCAGATAAGTTACAACCATGGTTGGACAATTCACAAAATCGTCTGCAATGACAACATTTACAACGCAGGGTTGAAATATTTCCTTCCTGCCTTCACTCCGTGTGTGCTGTTGGTTGTTCTGCTGTTGATAAGCTAGCCATCGCATAATCAGCATTGGATAGCGAATATTCGTCGAATGAGTTACCGAATTCATTTGAGCAATCGGTGATACAGTAGAACCTCGATTATCCGGCACTCAATTAACCGGCACCTC